AAGGGATCTTCCCCACCCAGGGATCAAACATGTGTCTCTTACGTCTCCCGCATCGGCGTGCGGGTTCTTTACCATTAGTGCCACCTGAGAAGCCCTCATATGATGGAATGCTAGATATGATCACCAGTATTCCATTGTATGAGTCTGTACTATGGATAAATCTTAAAAAGTAAAGGGTGCATAAAACAGCAAATTAGAAAGGGATATTATATATGAGCATTATATTAATATAATGATGCCACTGACATAAACTGGGGGAAAAAAGCCTTACAAATCAATAGTTATGTATCAGTACTAATATTGGATATATACAAACATGAATATTGAACAAAAATGAAAAAGATACACTGCAAGTTTAGGAAAAAATGAACTATAAACATATTTCTTTTTTCAAAAGAGCTCTGATACAACATTGTAAATCTGTTGGATCTTGTATTCAGAATATGTACAGAACTCTTAGAACTCAGCAGTGAAAAGACAGTTAACCCAATTAAAAACTGGGCAAAGGCTATGAATACTCATTTCTTCAAAGAAGGTATGTACAGGACCAATAAGTACATTAAAAGTTGTTCAACGTCATTAATGTTTCAGTTCAGTTCAGTCGCTCAGTCGTGTCCGGCTCTTGGCGACCCTATGGACTGCAGCACACCAGGCCTCCCTGTCCATCACCAACTCCTGGAGTTTACTCAAACTCATGTCCATTGAGTCAGTGATGCCATCCAACCATCTCACCCTCTCATCCCCTTCTCCCACCTTCAGTCTCTTCAGACATCAGGGTCTTTTCAAAACAGTCAGTTCTTCGCATCAGGTGGCCAAAGTACTGGAGTTTCAGCTTCAGCATCAGTCCTTCCAATGAACACCCAGGACTGATCTCCTTTAGGATGGACTGGTTGGATCTCCTTGCAGTCCAAGGGACTCTCAAGAGTCTTCTCCAACACCACAGTTCAAAAGCATCAATTCTTCTGTGCTCAGCTTTCTTTATAGTCCAACTCCCACATCCATACATGACTACTGGAAAAGTGATAGCTTTGATTAGACAGAACTTTGTTGGCATTAATGTTCAGTTAATTTAATTAATGTTGGTATTAATGTTTATAAAAATGCAAATGAAACCACTTCATACCCAGTAAAATGGCTAGAATCAAAAAGTCAAATAGTAGCAAGTGTTAACAAAAACATGGGAAAATTGGAACATTCATACGCTGCTGGTGAGAATGTAAACTGGTGTATCCACTTTGAAAATAATCTGGCAATTCCCCAATCAAACATGCAGTTATGATGTGACCCAGCAGTTCTCCTAGGTATTTACTCAAGAGAAATGAAAACATATATCCATATAAAAATTTGTACAGCTTTTTTATTAATATTTCAAAGGTGGTAACAATCCAAATGTCCACCAACAAGTGAATAAACAAAATGTGATACAATGAAATGTTATTCTGCCATAAACTATAATGAAGTATTCCACAGTCTAGATAAAAGATTAAATGCAATACAAAAAGAATCCTAATTAAAGGAAATGTTAATTGTTTTTGAGGGTCTGCTATATGTCAGGCACTGTGCTGGCATTTTGCATATAGTGTTTCTGTTAATCCTTCAAAAAGAGGACACTAAAGTTCATGGAGTTTAAATAATTTGTCTAAAGACCACATTTATTAAGCTATAGAGCAGAATTTCAGTATAGAATTGTCTGATTCCAAATTCATATTTTTTCTATTATAGTGCTTTTATTTCTAAAAAAGCAATTGTGAAGACAGATGACCATAATAGAAAGTATTTTCTGTTTATCACATATTATATTGTATACCTTGTATTCTAGCTTATCATTGTAATTGGCTATAACTAATTTCCCTTAATGATTCATCTGTATATCCTCAGCTCTTCAAAATGTGCCTAATGTTTAGTATTTGCTCATTAATTACTTGTCAGTTAAAAGAGTGGATGGTTAACAGATCTCAATTGTTTGTCTATATGCTGGTATTCTTACCTGAGTTTGAAAATGATTTTCCTTCATAGGACTAAGAATTAAACTCAAATTCATTAGTTTGATAGCTGCCCTTTTATTTACAGTTATTAATCTCTATGTAGACTTCAGCTGAAATACGTTACATCAGCCAGCCCACCGAGAGATTGAAGTGAAGGACCCAGTGAAGAACAAAGCATGATTCAAAGTTCTTAATAGTGAAGTCAGCTTAATAACATTTTGATGTTTAAATAATTCATACTTGTTTGTGAAATCAATTTCCTGGCTTAATTTCTTAGGAAAATCATATAATGAGTTCAAATTTAGACATAATAAGATTGGGTATCTGCAGTTTATCAAGGTAAATAAATCCAGAAATTAGTTGGAAATACAATTTTGGAGTTTGGGATATCTAGAGCTATACTCAGTAGCCATTAACTGCATGTGTCTATTTAATTAAAATTAAGAAGATTAGAGAAGATGAGTTCTTCATTCTCACTGGTCACATTCCAAATGCTCAGTAGCACTTGTGTACATTTTCAGGCCATGTGTAGCCAAATATAGCTAGAGGCTATTATCAGACAGCACCATTATAGAATACCTTCATCATCACAAAAAGTTTTATCAGCTAGCCCTGTTCTCAAAGCTAGAAGAAAAGATTTAGGAGCTATTTAGAGACTGAACAGTAGTTAATTCAGCAAACATTTGTTCATCTTCTGTAGTCTCTGCATATATAAATAAATAAACTGAAGTAAAGGGCTCATGTATGTTGTAGCAGAGTTGACAACATGCAAACAAGTGAATACAGTCTTGTACCAAGTATTTTAATAAATATACAAAGTGCTGTGTCTCTAATACAGTAATTACCTAACTCTGCTTTAGGGTGCCAACATGTTGAAGGATGAGTAGTATATCTGAAGAAGGAAACAGTTCCTCATAGGAAAATGTCAGCAGAAGTCAAGTGTGAATCAGATTGTGCTGGAGAATAGGCCAGGAAATGAAGATGAAACTTTTGACTATGGAATACTAGATTGAACGAAATAGAGCAGACGGATAGCTGAAAAGCTATAGGGTGGTCAGTACAGGAAAATACGGAAAGTAAGAGGCAGGCAGGTGTCCAGCATCAGTTCAGGAGAAATCTTATAAACATTGTGTCCTGTGTATGTTCTCTCTCTGTCCTGTAAATTGGTGCGTTTCTCCTATGCTAGAGGGCCATATCCTTAAAGCAACAGATCTGCACTGATAAAAATAATAAAAAATTGTTCACTCATTATTGTGTTTCCTTTAAAATATATGTAGATATTATTAATAAATGATTATGCCCTGACATTTGGATAAAGTTTGGCACTTTTATGTAGTAGTTCAGATTCCAAGGTGGTAAATTGAAATTGGAGTTCATTTGAAATTGGAGTAGTAATTTAAGTAGTTTAAGTACTTAGTTGTACTAAGTACTTACTCACTTTAAGTAGTTAGTTGATAAGTTTTAAGTCCACTGCACTGGGAGTTTACCTTAAGAGAAAATTTGTTTGAATGGTCTTGGAAAATGAAGTGACTTTTCAATAACAACAATAATCTCTTATTTTACTTTTAAAAAAATAAATCTGCATTGGACTAAATGATATCTCAGGTTTCCTTAGCTCTAACTTTCCCCAGGCTGTATGCCCTGTTTGTTTAGAGGTGTTCATGTCAGGCTTGCTGATTTCTGTTATCTATCTATACATCTTGGTCCTTCTTTTTCCTTCTCACTCCAGAGATGTCTTTTTTTGCTGTCTTGCTTTTTTTGAAAATTATTTCTTTCATTAAGAAAATTATTTTATATTTGATCCTCTTAAATTTTATGTTTTCTTCCATAACTTCTCCAAGCCACTGTATTTTTTAAATTATTTATTAGAAAATTTAAGAAATGTTAAATACATTTTTCTAGATTTTTCTAATCTTCATTAAGTATATACTAAGCATGGTTATAACTTTAATCAGGGACATTTTCTTTTTTTTTTTTTTAATCAGGGACATTTTCATTACACTTTTTTGTGTTAAGTTTATGTGACATTTTGTATTAGTATTTGCATGTATCATGTTGTTGTTAAGTTGCTAAGCTGTATCTGACTCAACCCCGTGGACTGTAGCCCTCCAGGCTCCCCTGTCCATGGGGTTTCCCAGGTAAGAATACTGGAGTAGGTTGCCATTTCCTACTCCAGGGGATCTTCCCAACCCAGGAGTTGAACCCACATCTCCTGCATTGGCAGGTGGATTTGTTACCTCTGAACTACCCGGGAACCTCATGTATCATCATAGCCTACTTGTAAGAATAATTTAAGTCTACATGATAAGGCATTATTTGCAGTCATTGTCAACTTTATCTGCCCTTTGGTGGTAGCCATCTTATCCAAAACATATGTTTCAAGCAGATGTTTTATCTGTTATTCAGGAAGTAATATAAATATTAGTAGTATGAATATTCAGAATACTTAATGCTCAATAGCTGTATGTATCTCTGTTCAAAATGCTAAGAGAGCTAGAAGTTAACTATTGGCACATATTCAGGCAGTAACTTTTATCAGTTGTCCACTCACCCCCTGTTGACAGTATTAACTGAAACCGGGCATTAAAAGCATTTTCTCTAAAGAATGACAAAAGAAAACTGCCTGGCTGATCTGTCCTGCGAATTGAGTGAGGTCTTAAGCATGGCAGCAGGGATACAAGGATGTAAGAAATGAAAGAAGCTGAGTGGAGAAGAGAACCTATTCAGTAATTTTACAGAATGCAGTGTAACTGTCAGATCTGAACTCTGGTTTTTTAAAGGGGTTAGGAATTGGAAGGTCAGCAGTGCAGTGTCTTTTTTTATTCCCTTACTTTTGACTTATGTCTGATCTCCAGAAAAGTGAAGTAATTAATTTTTTCAACAAATGTGTAGTCCCCGATTTCCTTCCCTATTAAATAGCATACATCTACTCTCTTAACTTGCAACATTTAATATCTTGATGTGCAGATTTGATCTGCTGTTCTTATAATTAACACTTCTTCCCCTCATTTTAAGGTTATTCTGGTACAAGTTAACCCAGGGGAAGCATTTACAATAAGAAGAGAAGATGGACAGTTTCAGTGCATTACAGGTAAGAATGGTCATTTATTATCATTTGAGACAAGACTAAAGGTTATGATACATAAAAGTGTTATATGCTTGTGGTTTCTTCCTTTCTTTCTGACTGCCACCACACCAAGGCACGAACTTTGCATACTTTATGGCTTAACTATAGCCAACTATAGTCTCTTTCCCAGGGTTTCTTGGTTAATATACTATAATGTTGTTCATGTCACTCCCCTGCTCAAAAATCTTTGGTGAATCCAGTTCAGTTTCCTTAGTCTTTTTGAAAGATCATTTCGTCATTCTTGCTTGCTTTTCTCCCCACTTTCCTTTCAATACTGTTGTGCTTTCAATACTGTTTCCCTTTCAATACTGTTTCGCTTTAGTCTTGCTAAGTTGGCTTATCTGCTATCTCTGAACCCTTTTTATATTGAATACTTTCTGTACTGTTTTTTCTTATCTACAGTTTACCCATATCACCACTACCTCCAGCCTATCCAGGTGCTTCCAGACTGAGCTCAGATCTTATCTTTAAAAGGTTTATTTATAAAGACCCATCATTACGTGTACTCATGTACTGGTTAGATGAATTACTTCATAATTCTTGTGTAGTAAAAGAATTTTGGTTGTGTAAGTTCCAGCATTTATTCTAACTAAAGAGTCCTTGATTCCAAAGTAACCTGTTAATTAAACTAAAATCTTAGTTAATTTTGGAAGTGAGTACTCTGAATGAGAGCCCTAAATTTAACAAGTGTATCTGTGCAGAGGCACATTTCAAAGAGTAATCGAGCTAGTGAATAGATATTGCTCCTAATAGACCTGTATAAATAGGATGCCCACTAGCTAATTTACTAATTCAAATTCCTAATGAAATAAACACTTGTAAGAGAAGCTTCCACTAAACTTCAAAACTTATAGAAATAATGATGCTGCCTTTAGCTTGGTACATAAAACCTTACTTAACAAAAATGTTCAAGGAGTAGCTTCCTTCTATTTTGATTTCTTAACAAGAAAAACTGTCTTTTTTACTTTTGATTCTCTGTGCTAAAATAATGCCTTTTGTTTAGTGGGTGTGCTGTTGATATTTATTAAAACTAACTGCTAAAATATTTTAAGTATATTGGTATGCTTGTTTGCCTTGGTAACTACTATGTACTGAAAATATATTTTTATACTCAGAGGTATTTTAGTGCCTTAGAGTTTTCAATATGAGCACCAATTAAGATTGCATAGTAATATGGAAATTTTAATGTAAAAATACAAATGTAGTGAGCCATAAGTAATGCCTAGATGTTAACCATTTAGCCAAATCCTGGATTTCTGGCTTTTTTTTTATGATTTGACTCTCAAGTGTAAAAAAAATTGTTGAGGTGAATTCGGGTTTATTGCAAGCTGTAGCTCACCTTACCTCGAGAAGTCAGGAACTAACTGAGGGTCCCCCGTGTGTGGGTTCTGAGCCCCTTCACCCGCTAGAGTCAGTGTGCCATTAATACTGCCTCTACCTCTTCCTGCTTTCCGTTTTGTTTCCAGCTAGCTCTGACCAGCTTCCTAGTAGTTACTGATGTGTGTTTCGCCGTTGTTGCTGCTGGTGTCACTTTCTAGTCTGCCAGTGGGAGGTGATTGGACCCTTGGTGCTTCTGCTGCCGTCTAACTCAGAGTGACCAGCGCTGCTGCTCCTGGGACGGTTACTGCCGCCCCTCTGTTCCTCTTCGTCTTCCCCTTACTGCTACTGCTCTTCATCACTGCTTTTCTGCTCGCAGTATCTCCTCATACACCTGATCTTGACTCTTCCTGCCTTTATAGGGGCTTCTGGAGTTAGGGAAGGTTTGTCCCCACTAGTAAGTACCCCTCTGTTCTCCATGTGTTTGGGGATCATGGTGAGGATAAGCACACACGTGGTCAGCTCTATCATATTTGCCATCTCCTTTGCAGAGCATTTTGTTGGTAAGTCTCTCCTAAACTGATCCAGATGACATTTAGGTCTTTAGTAAAACAACATTTTGTTAAATACTTAGAAGCTCTGTATCCCAGTTATCCCAACTCTGTTACCCTAGCGTGAGTTCTCTGCACTCCAGATGTTAGCACTTCTGGCCTCTGTGTTCTAGTATGAATTCTTGTGCTCATGAGGTCTGTTCAGAATGCTTTTGTCTTTATAGTTTTACCTTTGCTAGTAGTATCTCATAAATGAAAGCATATGCAGAATTTTACTTTTGGTGTCTTTTCACTTAGTGTAACAAGTTTGAGGTCCATCCATGTTGTTCCTGTGTCATTCGTTCGCTCATTCTTATTGCTGAGTTGTGTTACGTTGCATGAACACCCCCATATTGTGTCTGTTTAATCACCTGTTGAGAGACCTTTGAGTTGTTTCCAGATTTTGGCTAACATAAATAAAATGGTTGCAAATATTTGTGTTTTAAAAAAAGGGCTGTTTTCTCCCAGGATGTCTTTGTTGGGAATGGGAGAGGAAGATTTCATCCAAGTCGGACCCCTAGTGACCTGCTCTGATATCCTAGAATCCCTGAGACATGTGTACAAACTACACCTCAGGCCCCATGAATCTTGTTAGATATGTCAGATCTTTGATATTAAAAATGTCTGAAATTTATTCAAAGTTAAATGTCTGTTTTATATATCATGGTCACTATATTATTTGCTATAATTACTATAACTCGCAGAATGAATATAATTTTTCTTACTACATTCACAATAAAACTTTAAAAAAATATTAATAACAAAATGTATGAATTAATTAATGGTGCATTTTTAAAGGTACAAGTCTGGTCAGCCTGGGTTCTGGGACTAGTGGGTGGGAGTTAAAGGGAAACAGATTTAACTCAGAATGGGGAACAGCTCTGTAATAAACAGAGCCTGTCAGAGAGACTCAGGAGCAATCAGTTTCCCATTTGCCTTTGTAGGTGGTAATGCATCTACTGAGTCTTCACTTGATGGTGCCATTAGCAGGTTTAATTTCTCTTCAGTGGATGGTTGGAGTTAATGCCTTCTAAGATTCTTCACGAGTCTAAAATGTTCTGATTCTATATCCTTCAGTAGATTACTTAAATTCTGCCCATTATTTTGCACATCTGTGAAATGAGGATGCACTAGTGTGAATTAGATTTTCTACCAACTCTCATTTTTTTACATTTTTTTGGTATTCATAATTATGGTAATATCTTATGCCATATCTTAAATTTATTTTAATAATAAGTAGATCAGTATTCCAAGAATTTTTTAAAAGACCACTGATTATCTTTGGACTAAGGACTTTTTTTTTTACTACAAATCTGACTGAACTAAATGAAGCTCTTTAAGGTATATGGAAATTATAATTAACTCAAGTTCAAACCATATATAGTAGTCTCATTCCCATATGATTAGCTATTATTTACTTTTTTTCATAATTTAACAAACTAAATCATGGAGAAGTTATATCTTTTATACGTTACTTAGGAAATCTTAACTACCCTTAGGAAATACTCTAAAAGCATAAGTAACTATGTGGTGGAAATCCCTTATTAAAAAGTGCCCTCTACATTTTTCCTTCTAAAATGAAGACATCAGTTTCGCTAGAGAGGCTCAAAAGACTCATTTTGAAATATTAATAAGTCTTGTTTTTGAAAATGAATCATAATGGATCATCCATTCATAAATTCTCCCATTTTAGGTTAAGTGAATGACTCATCCTGAGTACTTTGTTTAATAATCCCAGATTGTCCCTAAATGCTATTAAATGTTACCTTTCAAGAGAAACCATGTTATATATGACTTAGTTAAGAGACAACTGCAATGTTTATGCTAAAAAGGAAAATTCAGGCAAATTAAGTTGTCTTCAATTCTTTATGTTCCTAATGAATAAAATATCATTGTTCAAGTTGTTCTCTTGAAAATAGGAAATCTCAACTAGTTCAGTGAGTCCTGTTTTTTTTTAAGTGATAAAAATCTCAATTAAAAAATTTTAATGAGTGGTGATGGCAAAAGGAAAGTAAGACCTAGAAATATAATTGTGTAAAATAGCTAGCAAGGAAATGAGAATCTTAGTCCTAGAGCCGTAAGAATCTCAATTTCGCCACAGCCTCATGAGATTGGAAAAGGACTCTAGCCTCCAAATGAGAACACACCCTAGCCAGTACTTTGATTTTCCCTTTGTGAGACCCTGAGTAGAAAATCCAGTTTATACAACACTCAGATTTATGAACTACAGAACTGTGGGCTAATAAATAGGTGTTTCTTAAAACCACTAAGTTTGTGCTAATGTTAACAGAGCAATAGAAAACTATGACAATTGTAATGTGAACATTTTTTCTCTTGTGTGTCTTGTTCAGAAGTCTGTTAGTACTTGTATGGAGTTCTTTGCCCCATAGGTAGTAAAGGAACTCAGGTTACTTCCATCTTGATCTGCCATCCCTAGAATATTACACTCGTCTGCATGATCCATGGTGGCTCACCACCAGTGTTCATGTCCCAGACAGAATGGAAGAGAGGAAGAGAAGAAGAAATAAAAGATATGCCCTCTTTCTTTAAGGAAATACTTTGGAGATTATACAGGTAACTTCTGCTCACTGGCCATAGCTTAGCTGATCAACTTCTAACTAAATAAGAGAACTAAAAGTTGTCTTTGGATGAGGTGCCCATGGATCCAACTAACATCAGAAGATTATTACTATGGAAGAAGTGAAGAACAAGTACCAGAAAATAACTGATAGATACCACAGGCTATTCTAAATAATAATAATAACTGAAAATCTTCAAAGATCCTCCAAAAATACAGTGTTTACTTATGGAGTGGTGGTGCATGAAATTGGGAACAGGGATGAAGGGAAAGTTTTTTTTCTCTTCTTTTTTATACTTTTTCATTTTTGAATCTTGTAAAATATAAGGGTTGTATATAAGAACCACCCCCTTTTTTTTTTACCCAAAAGATACTTGTCTCCCTTCCCACCACCACATTTTACCTGTCCCGATGTGATTAGTATTTCTCCACTGTTCCTCCTTGTCCCTTTTGAGATTTTCATCATTTGGAGTTTGTTT